TTTCGATGTTCAGCTTCTTTTCATTGGATCTGTGAAAAAACACTAAACTGCAGTACAGTTTACTGACAATGACCTATTATTACATTTTTGCAGTTTTTTCTATCATTCTATTTTAAGTTTAGTCTGTTTTATTCTGTTATACTTTCAAATGTATACCATACGTGCATCTAAGGGGTAGCACTGGCAGCTGCCAGTATTTTTATTCTAGTGTTTACAGTGTTGATTTTTGTGTTTCTTGAATTTTTGAATTGTATTTTTATTTAATTGCCATTGCTTTATTTTCTGTGATAAAAATAAAATAATAGTTCTAATAAGAATTATTAGAAGAATAATTATTATCATTATTGAGTCTCAAGAGAATAGATTTTGCACAGATCTTTATGATCAAGCCATTGGAGCAGTCCAGTTTATAGCTAGCTTAAATATATTGTTTGTAATTTCTTTTAGAAAAGACATGTTCTGGAGGATGGAGCGAGTTCAACTGTAACTGCTATATCCGGTCTCAAAGCTCTGGTTCCTGGGATGCAGCCAGAAAGGACTGCAGAGACAGAGGAGCAGACCTGGTGGTTGTTGACAGCCCTGAAGAACAGGTACTGTGTTTATGCCTGTGTGACTTATTGTGTTTGTAAATTATTACTGAAATTCAAGCTCCTTATTTTACATAAATAATGTTGCCCATATGCACATGAAAACTATTCAACACATATATGAGATCAGATCATAAACATGAAAGTTTATAATCTGATCAAAGTTGTTCTGTGGGAAAAAACTCATATGACCACATAGTTTTCTGTGATTGTGTAAATGGCTTAATGGAACCTTCAATTTAAAAAGTGTTACCACAATTAGGATGAAATAAAAAAAAACATGAATATGAGGATTTTAAATCAAATTTATTGTACCACAATGACTCAGAGAAATATACACAGACAAAAACATTATGGGGGAAATAACCTGTCAATGGAGAAATAAGAAAGTTTGGTGGTGTATAAAGAAAAAGGAAATCATAATATAGGAGGATTCTGAAGAATGCAGGGAATGCAGTCAATGGACCTTTAAGAGTCCACTGACAGAACATAATACCATTTTAGCCAGCCTTTTGTAGACAGTGTCAAAAGATTTTGGTGGCAATGACTTATAACATGTTAAAGAAAAAATGTGACAAATGTATTAAAAGTTTTGAATGAGTTTCAGCAAAAAGTGCATCAACTAAAATTGTGGTTCAAAACTAATATAAATTGCTTTTACTCAATATGAAAAAGACCTTTCTCTCTACGATCACCACAAAAAGAGTTTGGCTTGGTTTGACTGATGAAGAACAGGAGGGAACATGGAAATGGGTGGATGGAACTCTACTGACTCTGTCGTAAGTCTTCACTTTGGTTCAGTTTGTTACTTTCATTAAGTTTCCAAAAGAAATGTGTTAAACATATACACACTACTGGTCAGAAGCCTGGACATTCATAGTTTTGATGCCTCCAGTGAGGATCTGCAATGTACAATAGTCATGAAAATAAAGAAAACCATGAAAACCATTAAACTTTTGACTGTTAGGATATAAAACACACTGGTGTGTTTTACATTTCAGTGGGTTGAGCCAAACTGCAAGGTCAAATGCTTAAAGATGTACACTAATGACTTGTTTAGACAACATAGGTTAGAAGTTGCTTTATCAACTATGACGTCTTGCTTTGATCTCCATATGAAACTTTATCTTAAAATAGCCCTGTCACTACACACCAAACATCTGATTTTTGTCTCAATAATAAAAACAAGCTCATATTATGGTTATGGACTTACTAGGTACTGGGGATCGACTCAACCTGATAATGGTGGAGAAGAGGACTGTGCTCATGTCTACAGTGGTGAGGACATGACCATGAATGACTGTTCATGCTCAAATTCTCTTAAATGGATCTGTGAAAAAGCTCCAGACTACTGTATCGTTTCTTGAAGATTTTTTACTTGTTACTTCAGTGGAGACTTTCAGAGAGAAATTATTGAACACCAGCATAGCTGCGTATGTTTAAATTTTGGGTTTCTGTTTGGGTTTTTTTGCAGTGTTTTAAAGTTTTGATTTTTGTGTTTGTTAACAAAGTATACTAACTTTGTGTTAGTCAAATGTTACATGGAAATGGACAATGAGACAAAACATTTTGAGCATGCAATTTATTGAAAACAAAGCTTATACTGTATGGAACTGTTGTCCTTTTTTTAATAAATTTCCCTTGCCATCCTTACCCAAAGGTTCTCAATTGGATTTAGATCAGGGAAACGTGCAGGATGGTTCAAAACAGTGATGTTATTGTCCTGGAAAAAGACCCTTGTCCTGCAGGCATTCTGTACTGCAAAGGTAGCATTGTCCTGTTGAAAAACCTAGTCGTTACCACAAAGATGAGGGCCCTCAATCATGAGGGATCCTCTCTGCAACATCTGGACATAGCCAGTGGCCACTAAAGGAAAAAGCATCCCCCGCCACTGTGGCGCATAGAAAACATCTCAGGTGGGATCTGCTTGTCATGCCAGTAACGTTGGAAATCATCAGGACCATCAAGGTTAAATTTTTTATCAGAGAATACAACTTTCTTTCACCTTTCAATATCCCATGTTTGGTGCTCTCTTGCAAAGTTCAAATGGTCAGTTCTGTGGCATTCAAGGAGATGAGGCCTTTAGCGACATTTTTTTATTTTTGAAGTCCTTCAGTCTCAGATGCTGTCTGATGGTTATGGGCTGCAGTCGGCACCAATAACAGGCTTAATTTGGGTCGAGGATCGTCCAATTGTCATGAACCCTGTGTTGCAGGCAGGATTGTACCCAAATGCAGACTCACAAACAGGATTTGAACACAAAAACTCAGCTTTATTGCTGGTACAAGTTAATACAAAAATTAAACTGGAAATCTAGAAATTGAACTATGAACAGGAGACACAGCCGGGTATGAGGGAGACACTGACATAAATACACAGAAGGATAATGTGGGAAGTGAGAACACACAGGGACTACAGCTGACGTGAATTAACATGACGCCACAGGGGAAGCAAGACTAGACACACCAAACATGGAAACACTTGACTTTCATAATAAAACAGGAAACTGAGGAACATGGTACAGGAGTGGAGGAAAGGCAGACAGGAGAGACAGAGGGAGCACGAAGGAGCACAAGGGAGAAAGAAAGGAAACGAGAGAGACATGATAGACTGGGCAAACATGGATAAACATGACAAGCAGGGGGGAACAGAATGAAACACGAGGAGGGAAACAAAACACAAGAACTCACACAACAAATATAAACACAGAGACATAAAGGGCAAAGACACAAGAGGGAATCTAATA